TTAGTATCTGTTTTTGTTTTTATTAATCATAAAAAATGGATACTAAATAAATAAATAAATACTTAAATAAAAATTATTTTACTATTCATCTTGATGTTTCTTTCTCCTTTGTTTTTTCCTATTGGGAAAAAGCAAATCAGAAACAAATATCTGTACATAGCATCAATGTAACATAAACAAAATGTTACAATACTGTTAAATATAGAAACATCAAGATGAATAGTAAAATAATTTTTATTTATGTATTTAATTTCTTTAGTAACCATTTTGTTTTTATGATTAATAAATACATAAATTAAAAAAGCTACTTACCAAAAATGAGGCAGGCAACTTCTTGTTACATTGTTCAATATATAGCAACAATGTAACAAAAACCTGCATGCATGCATGCATGCATAAATGGATTTTTTTTAAAATAAGTGTTTTATTTTTTTTAACTAAACAAAACAAACATAAAACATAAACGATCTTCAGTTACATACAGTGTGTCAGTTGGTACAAAACACTTGTGCACAATCTCTGCAGTCTTTCCCTTCCAATTTGCATTAATCCTTATATCATAAATCCACTATATATATTTATATTACTATTATTAATTACTTACTAGACTTTACTATTACATCATTTATGCGAGCAAATCACTATTTTTACTTTATCTATAATGTTCATTTCATCACCACCAATCTATTCTATAAAATATATATCCTTACTTTACCTTACCTCTGTAATTCTATTATACTTATATCATAAAGTATTGTAAAATATTTCATAAATGAAAATTGTTTTGCTGCACTGATGTTACATATTGATACTTAAATATCAACAAGAACAGCAGAGTAATAGAAAAATTATTTAAATTTCTTTGTATTGGCTTATTTCTAATTTTGTTAATTATATCAACATGTTCATAATTATCAACCTTCTGTATTTAATTCATACACAGCAGTGATCATTCTCTGCCTAATTTCTATCTTTTATCTCTATCCATTTCTGCACATTGTAATTTTTTAATTTCATTTTCATCTATGAGGATCTCTTGGTTTGTGCAAACATAATTCTAGCTGCTGTTAACACGTGTAACATTAAATATGTATTGTATTCCCTTTATTTATGTGGGTACCAACAAAAATATTTCTGGTTTTAAAATTTAAATCTATATGTTGCTTTACCATTTTTGCTAGCCTTGACACTACATCCTCTTGAATAGCTACACTAGCAGAGCCCAATACTGAATTCATATATTCCAGTTTTTTAAACTGAGGAATAAATTTCAGAAAAAGTATTCAGTATTGCTCTGTGAATGTGCCTATCAATTCCATTCTTAATCTAACTTCTTAGATGATTTTGTACTATTATCTTTATTTTGTACTATATAGATATGCATAAGGCTGTAAAAAACTTCAGTACATTTTAACCTGCATTCTAAAAAGGTTAGGCGACCAAACATGGGCTTCCCCTGGCTTCTCTCTCTCAGCTATAGAGAGAGCATTCCATTAGGGACTGTTGGTCCAGGTAAGTAGTCTTGGCTAGGAAAGTTTTTTGTGCCACTACTGGCACAAAATAGCAAACTCCCCATAGCTCCTCATAGCTCCCCGAGCCTCGCCTTGCCCTCTCCATAGCTCCTCGTAGCTGCCTGGGCCTTGCTCAGCCTTCCTTGTAGCTCCTCGTAGCTGCCCAAGCCTCACCTTACCCTCTCCAGGGTTCCTCAGGACTTGGAAACTGGCAAAAAACACTTGCTAAGAAATTGGCCATTAAGCAAGGACCTGGGCATTCAGCGAGGACCACTTAAATTTGGTTTGCCAGTCACATGGCCACCTGCCC